AGCCCAGCCAGCACAGGACCTGGCAGCAGCTGCAGACCAGCTCAGCTCGCCAGGGCAGGACCTCGGCCCTCTCCAGTGTGTTTTGGCTCCGCACCCAGCCTGTAAGTATCCTCCACTGAGTCCCCCACTTTTTTAATGCTGCTGGCATTGGGGGAGAGGGGGGGCTGCCAGACGAAGACGTGGTGTTGCGGGGTGCAAACGTGTGGGAGGGAGAAGGTCCTTCCCCAGCCGTGGGACACTTTCGGGGCAGTTCTGCAGTCTAATGTGTGTGCCGCTGGCTGGTTTCTGTTTGCCAGCAATGCTTAGCTTTGTCAACTGAGTCCCCCACTTTTTTAATGCTGCTGGCATTGGGGGAGAGGGGGGGCTGCCAGACGAAGACGTGGTGTTGCGGGGTGCAAACGTGTGGGAGGGAGAAGGTCCTTCCCCAGCCGTGGGACACTTTCGGGGCAGTTCTGCAGTCTAATGTGTGTGCCGCTGGCTGGTTTCTGTTTGCCAGCAATGCTTAGCTTTGTCAGCCTTTCTTCACCTGCAGTTTCCCCTGATCCTGCCTGAGCGGGAAAGAGGGCTAGCAGGTGGCTTGAAGGAAAGGTGCCAAGTCTAAAGCTGCCTTCCTTTCCCACCGCTCTTGCTCGCCATTACTCCCCCCCGGCAGCCGGGGAAGGCAGATGCAGGAAATCCAAGTCTTCTGGGGGACTTTCCGGTGCAAGAGAAAATGCCCATCCTTTCACCCCTTTGCATTCAGCCTGCTCGCTGCAGCAGGGTTCGGCAGCTCCACAGACATGTTTGTCCTTGTACAGAGGCCAGATCCTGTGCTGAAGCTGCGTGCCTTGACCGCCCCGTCCCGCTGCCTTTGCCCAGGCACTCGGCCAGCAGCTCGCTGCTCACCTGCCTGCAAGCCAGCAGAGGGAAGGGCCTTGCGGTCCCAGCAGCACAGAGGGTTCCTACAAGCCCCATCTCGCACACAAACACCTCGGGGAGCTCCTGCGCCATGCACATGGAGCTCCTCTCTGCCTGGGGGACTGAGACACAGAGCTCTCCCATGGTAAATTCCAGTGCTTCCAGCGATGCCTGCACAGGAACAAGGGGGTGAAGCTGGACTGGGGCTTGCTGCGTAATGCTCAGGTTCCTCTTTCTTGCACCTTTGAGGTAGAGCCACAGACCGTCCTGTCCAAAGTCACAGGTGTCCCCTTAGAGGCAGAGGGGCTGCAGACGTCTGGGAAAAGCCCCAGCTGGACACCGAGTGACAGCTCTTTCCTGTTTATCCGCTGCTTCTCAGCCTTGCTGCCTCCAAACCAGCCTCGGATGCTGCGGCTGCGGCTGCCCTGGTATGTCACCTCCAGGCCAGCCATGCACTCTCTGCCCCAGCTGGCACAGGGCATCTGCACCAGGCACGTTTCTGTCCCAGTCACAGCCACACCTGCGGACTGGGATTCACCTGCTGGGCTGGGGAGGTGTCTGAGGGGCAAATCTGCCTGCAATTTGGCAGAGTGAGCAGAGGGGAACCACTAGTGTCGTGGATGAAGGTGTTTGACACGGTTATGATTTAGTAGCAATTCAAAATTTTTTAACAGAATGAGTTAAATCAAAGGTTGAATTTTAGCAGCACTCAATGATTGACTAATTGAAAGATTTAAAAGTCATTCAGTAAGATCTATTGTGATCAAAACAGTGTCTTAATTACAGATTCAAAGATGACGATTCACTATAAGGTATCTTAAAGTATAGGTACATATATATATTTGAACACAAAATGCAAGTACACACAGATAGAAATATTTGGGCCCAGTGATATATGACACCCACACTCGTGAATGCAAATATGTATATTTATACACATAAATTGGTAGAGAGATGGATGAAGGAAGCTAGCTTATGGTTAAAATTTCCCTCTTCGAGTTTAGAGTAAATACAATGCATCAGCATTCCTCGGTGGGTGATGGTTGAGTCTCGAGTACGCTGACTTCACCCTGGCCTCCCGTCAGCTTTGTCAGCAGACGGTCCTCAAGGAGTTTGTGCTTGAGAGGCGTCTCAAATCAGAGGAGGTGCTGCGATCCAGGTCTCATTTAGAGTTGCTACTTATAGGATCTGAGATAATTGACTTTTGTCAGGTACTTTTCCACTTCGGCCCAACTTGGATGATGAAATAGTCTGGTACTTTTCACCAGCTGCGCGGACTCAGAACTTTTCTGGCATCACCTCCTTTTGGGTCATGACCAGGCTGTCAAGAGGTGTTTGACTGATTGTTATTATTGTTCCCAAACAACAGGAGAGGAACAGTTTCATGATCCAAGTACAGATGTACCAGGTTGCTACCATTGCCAAATGAAGAAAGAGCCAGGCACGTTAAGGGGGTGCCTTAATGCTCTAGACTGCTGCCTATGGATGTGGCCCCGAGAAGTGTGTGTGTGTGTGGAAATTGCACCAAGTACCAAGCAGCTCAAGAGCAGGGGAGTGGTGTGGTGTTGCACCATCACAGCTGCGAAAAGAAAAATAGGTCCTTAAAGACATGAGCCTCAAAGCAGAGGAGAAGGCAGAGATACCATGGGATTTCCCTGGGCCCTCACACATGCGGAGATCACAAAGTAGCACAGGGTCTCTGAGGTGGCTCTCCTTCACCCCTGCCATGTATTTCCACGAACCTGCTAGGAATTTAATTCTCTGTCCCCTCTCTAGTAAACATGTGTAACTAGGACAATTTTTAATTGCTTTTGTATTTTATGGAGGGGGAATAAACAAAAGGTAACATGAGATGATTGAACAAAAAGCCCGTGTTTCTACAAGCCTACCTTCCTTAGGAAACCAGTCTCAAAAAATACGACAGCAAGGGTTGGTAAGTGGGCATGGCCAGGAGCTGGCTGGGCTGTACCAGTCCCAGTTCCCAGTTCTGACAGAAGCCGGTTGGCTAACAGAGAGCCCCCTCCAAGTGCAGCTTGTTCTCCCTCTGAGGGATGCAAGGCAGGATGGCAGAGAGAACAGTGGGCGGGCATGAGCCCTTGTGGGACAGGGAGAGGAAGAACAGCAATGCCTGGCTGCAGGATAACACGTGTAAAGACAGACAAACCAAGAGGCGATACCGGGGCAAGACAATCCCTGGTGAAATTACACGTACGTGAGGTCTCATTCTGCAGCATGCTGGTAAATGATTCATTGGAGGTAATGCTTGGCAAAGGCAGGAAAGGGGTTATTTGCAGAGCATCAAGCCAGCAGCTGAGCTTGAAGCCAAGGTCTCTGAGCTCCTTGCTCTGTGTTTGCGTCTCTGTGCAGACGTGGGTGGCCAGTGCTGTGATACCACATGGCTCTGCAGCCATTGATACCCCTTCATGATGCCACTTCTCTGTTTTTCAGCACAAAGTAGAAGCCTGCAAGTGGGCACTGAGGACAATCCACATTTCTGGGAGAGGAGCAGGGAGTCGGGTTTGCTGGGAAGTCTGAGAGAGGAGTGAAGAGGATGGCAATCACAGGTCTGTCTCCCTAGCACCCATCTCCCCTGGGCCCCAGAGGAGGGTGAGTGGCTGCGGGTGGGTCCATGGTGCCTTTTTGTGGTGTCACAATTGCCAGTCCACGTGTCTTCAGGCAACTGGGACAGAGAAGGACCATGTCTACCAGCCTCAGTGAGGAGCAGGGCTGTGGGCAATCAGCCCTGCTGTGCCCAGAAATGTATGGGCATGCATGAGCCTCAGGGGCATGTGGGTGCTGGAAACTTGTGGCATCAATGGCACCAGATTTCTCAGGGCTGTGAGGGTGGTGGGGAGGCAGGGGGGGCTCTGCACTTCAGACCCTGTCATGCCTGCATTTTACTCAGTTGTCCAAAGATCACAAGGGATGTCCTTGTCTGACCAGAACTGAAAGAAAAGCATTTTCTCAGAATAGCTCTTAATCTTCTCCTTACCAGACAGTAGTGTTTTACTCCCCTCCCAGCACTGCAGTTTGCAGTCCAACGTGAGACCATGGTGCAAAGGACACATGTGGGGCTAAGGGAGCCACGCTGTCCTCCCAGTACTGGTCCATGCGCAGGATATCATTAAGCCACTTTTGCTGTGACCAAAAATGCACCCACCTCGACCCAGTAACACAAGCACAGCACAGACAGAGGCAGGACTGAGACGCTCCTGCTGTACTTGCAAGGGGAGTCCCGAGACCTCAGTGACACAGGCTCAGAGCACACCTTGGGAAGGGTGCCATAACATGCAACAACCAAGGGGTCCCCCCCTTCATGTTTTGCAGCAGGCATCCCTACAGCAGGCTTTCCCATGGTATCAAGAAAGCATGCAGGCATCAGGATGGGTCTGCTGCAACAGAGGTGCACCGGGCACCTGCTCTGTGCGCTGATCTTCCTCGAGGCTGCCGGGGTCTTGGCGTTGATGTTCTACGCACTGCTGTGGAAAGCTGGGAACCTGGTCGACCTCCCTGACAAACGTATTGGCTTTTACAACTTCTGCCTGTGGAACGAGACAGCTGGGGAGCTGCAGTGCCTAAAGTACAAGCACCTGCAGGCGATGGGCATCACCCTACCAGGAATGGCATTAGCCAGGGTTTGTGTGTATGCCTGCCTGGTCTTCAGCATGTTCTACCCCATTTTTGTTGCACATGTGAAGTGTGCAGAGGAGAGAGAGGGCTGGAAGGTGATCCTCATCATACTCATGATCAAGATGATAGGCCTGTCTGCAGGCCTGGGTATATTTCTTTTCCAAACCTCGCAGTGGATCCAGCTCTCTGATTTCACTGGGGGCTTCCTGGCACTGGTTGGGACTCAGGCTCTGCTACTGCTCCAGATTCTCACTGCCACTGTGTACCTCAGCTGGGACAAGCACACACACATGTCAAAGCCCTTTTACTGAGGAGGCCCTGCCCATTGAGGTTTGACAGTGAAGAAGATGCAAGAGCTATTGATAAACAGATTAAAAACGGTAATCTCACTACAGCTTTAGTCACTGGCAGGAATTTGATCCTTAGTCCAAAGGCCCATGTCCAGCCATGCTCTGCAATACAGCTGCCAGCTGGCAGCACTCCTGCAGGGAGTGGGCAGCAGGCACCAACACCCACAGCACAGTGTGGGAGCGTCCTGGCAACAGCAGCATGTAACACACCCCTCAGGCTGGGGCACATCAGAGACAGCATTTCTGGCCCTGACTCAGAGGACTGTGGGGGACAGATCAGAACCAGCACCCAGTGGACACGTCCCTCTGGCCATATCTAGCCTAAATACAGGCAGGCAG